TGCTATAGGGCGTGTGCGCTTGCCAGACAGACAGAAAGAGACAGAGAAATAGAAAGCGAGAAATCACCCCCCAGAGGGGATGGCCATGCTGCAATCCCTTCTCCTCCATTCTCCTCTCGGGATCTTTGGGCACGCATGCACATGTGCCCGGCTTGAGTTTAAGCCACCAGGTCCAGGACTCGAACTGCAGTCGACTACGTGGGAGTCCAGCGACATAGCCATTACACTAACTGCTGGTCCTTCTCACTTTCTTCCTCTCTGGCTCTCAGATGAGCACATGCACCCCACCTCATAGCAAAGAATTCTCTCTCTAAAAAAAAATCTATTCAATTTTATTTATCATTATTATTTTAAAATTTGACCAGAGAGAGACAGAGAGAGAATAAGAAAGCAAGCAAGCCGCAAGGTCCGGGACTCAAACTGGTTGGCTGTGTGGGAGTCCAGCGCCTTAACCACCATGCCATTGGCTGGCCCTGAAGCCACACTACTGTTGACATAGTTTACTACCATAGGTACCCCCAGGATGATGCTCCGTGTAGTGAGCATGTGCGTGCACATACACACATGTCCATGCACTGCTCCCAATCTTCTCCTGGTCACTGGGTCTTTCAGTCTCCTCATATCCCCCAAGGCTGGACACACACTGGTACTGGTCTGTCATCCAGCCCCTTTCCCAGCCACTCAGCCCTAACACTGCATGTATCACCCACCCTGGCTCAGGGACTTGCTCGTCCGCTTCTGCTGGTAGTTCTCTGTTCTTCCCCTCCTCCTCTCAGAACCCCAGCCCATCCCTGGGGATGCGGGGTGCTCTTCACTTCTCCCCACTGTGGCCAAGCTCTGGGGGCTGATGGGGAGGGAGAGATGGCAGGGGTGGGGCTGTAAATGGGGAAGACAGCAGACTCAAGGCAGGCAGTGATTTTGCTTTTTTATTCTATACAAGTGGGGAGAGAGCCCCTGGGGATAGAGGGACAGAGGTCTGCCCTCCCGGGGGAGGAGACAGGTCCCCACCCCGAGCTCTCTGCAGAGTGAGGAGGCGTAGAGAGCCTCCCTCTCTTCAGGTTGCTCCCTCCCTTCCAGTCCCCCGCCTTCTGCTCCCCCACGCCTGCAGAGGGGCCTGGGGGAACAGGGTGGGGGTGGATGAGGGTCTGAGTCCTTGTGAGGCACATGTCGAGAGGAGGGCTGGGGAGGGTGTTGTGGCAGCTGTCAGTCTGTTCCTGGCTCACTGGTTCCTGCTGGGGACAAATCCAGGGAGCCCTGTTTCCTGGGCAGGGACAGCCAGCAGCTAGGTGTTGGGGTTTGAGGGGTGCCATGTCAGAGCGATGGGTGGGGAGGGGGACCCACCCTCTCACCATCAGCACCTGTGGGGTCAGGGGGTCGTCTTCTATCAGGCTCCAGCTTGTCGCAGGATTGTGCCCGCCGTGTCCTCTTGGGCTTCAGGGGGGCAGTCCGACGGCCTGGATCAGGGGGCCCTAGAATAACAGTCAAGGCTGGCCTGGCCCACGAGTAGGGCTCACAGGCTGGGGTGTTCAGGAAGGTGATGGCTCCATTTGTTGCTAATTCCATGGCCCATTGGGGGATGTATTGTGGGCAGCAAGGTCCCTGGGTGCCCGAGCCCCCCCACTCAGCCAGGGACAGACCTTGAACCTCTGGTTCCTCTTGGTCCTGCTGTGAGCCCAGCCTCAGTCGGGGTTTGTGGACTCCCGGTGCTGTGCCACCAGTCTCAGCCTCCTCCCTGCCCCCTGTCTCCTGGGGGGGGCGGCGGCCCCTGGGGACAGCCACAGGCTTGGGTGGTCGAGGAGCTACAGGAGGGTCCTGAAGCTGGCAGAGGAAGGAAGATACTGGATCTGTTAGTCATTTTGCCTCATCAAAGTACTCTCCCCACCTACCTTGCCAGCCCTCACCTTGGCATTCCTAGCTGGAACCATCCTCTCTGGGAACAGAGCCCCTTCCCTCTCCTCCTCCCCATCCTGGGAGGCTGGGCTGGGACTCTGGCAGCTGTGGTTGGGGGCACTCTCCTCAGCTGAAGGGAGAGAGAGAGAAGCTGCAGGACAAGGCATTCTTCATAGTCCTTCCTTTGTCTCCTTTTCTCACGAAGCCCTAGAGCCAGGGGCCTTCTCGCTCCAAGTGCAGTTCTCCTATGGTGGCCTTCCATGCCCCCTTATAGTCCCTTAGCTTCCTTAGCTCTTGGTCCCCGGGATTGTCCAGAAGCCATCACCTCTGGCCCAGCAGCTCCTCTTGCAGAACAGGGCCGAGCTCTTTGCTGCTGGGGCAGAGCCAGGGCCCAGGGCCTGCTGGGTCCACAGGCCTGGCTGCCCATCCAGGGCTGCAGTGCCCCCAAGGACCTGCCAAGGATGCAGCCTGGCATTTTCAGAACTCTGTCTGCCAGTCTGATTTAGATGGTGAGAGCCTGGAGGAGAGTTGCCCTGGCATGCTCATCCTCCACCCCCGTGGCTTTAACCTACACGAGCCCGAGGTATGGCATCTGGGAGGTGCTGTGTGTGCATTTCTGTGAGGTGTGTGCGGTGGAGCATGTGACCACCGTGGTCTCCTAGGTGAAGGATGCAGCCCTGCTCTGGAGGCTTTAACTCGGGTGTGTGTGGCATGGGAGAATTGGCAAGAGAGTCCCAGGCCCAGTTGGCTTTGGAAGATGAGGCAGGGGTGTAGGTACTGCCAGGCCTCAGGCCAGCCCAGCTCTGCGCTGCAGGGCAGAGGAGGGCAGGATGGAGTGGGATGGCACAATGGTGAGCATGGGGCCAAATCAGACCCACCTGCTTGTCTCCTGGCTCTTTCCAGCCACTGTGCCCTAGCCTGAGGGTAGGAGTGGAGGAGGGTGAGAGGTGTTTACATCTACAGGGAGACTTTGTCCTTGTTGATGTTGCTGGAGGTCCTATTCCAGGCCTTTGGGGACTCAGGTTGAAGCTGAGCTGGCCAGCTTTCCTTGAGCAGTCCCCTCAGTGGAAGGTGTTCCAACCCGGGAGAAGGAAGCGTCATACCTGGGCTAAGCCCCCTCCCCTTTATTCCTCCAGTCATGAAGGCAGACAGTGAACAACTGGTTGAGGTCAGAGAGTGGGACAAACACCCAGGGTCCCCACTCCTTTCTCTGGGGCACCTTTCTGGGTGAGCTGAGGTTGGGGTGAAGAGCTATTTTTGGAGGATGTTGGGATGTCTGAGGTGGGCTTGGCATAGCTGGCACTGCCTGGCATTTTGACTTGCCCACTACTTCCTGGCTAAGCTGTGGAGACTGCTTGTTCCATGGAGGGTGCTTCTGTGTGACAGGGAGCAGAGGTGGCACCTGCTCTAGAGAATGCACCAGCGCCGTTGACAAAGCAAAACCAGTTTTTGTTCTGTAGAACCTTTTCTTGGATTGGATCATTTTTTCTGGATGCAGCTTTATAAACATCTTAAAGCATTTTCGCTGTGTTGACACCTCACTCCCCAGCCTTAGTGGCAAATTCCCCAGTGCAGGGGCCATGACTTCTATTTCTTTGGCCACATCCTGGTCCCTCAATGCCGCTTCCTGAGAGAAGCTTTGCATACCTATGTGCCATGTGGCCTCGGCTCGGCGCATGGCGCTGAAGCTTGGCTTGGTGCTTTGGGGTGGTGGTGGGGGCTTCCAGGCTCCAGGCCCTGGAGCGGGGGAAGAGATGGCAAAGGGGAAAGAGGAAAGGAAATCAGAAGAGTTCCCTAGAGAGGAGACCAAGGAAGGGAGTAGAGGTGACCATTCTTACCTGCGTCGTCTGAAGAGCGCCGTTTCTGCCAAGCCTGGGTGCTACCCTCCAGGTCTGGGCCTGTGCCCTGGAAGGACAGTGGAGTCAGTCATCAGAAAAGCCCCCTCTGTGGGGGGACTGCAACTGCCAAAGCACTTCTGCTGTGCATCTCATCTCACGTCGTTCTCAGGTCATTAGTCCCCAACATGTAAAGTGTGTCTCCCAAACAGTGGCACCCATCCCACCCTCGGGGCACAGGAAATGGTTTGCATGAATGAACATGCTGCGGTCTCCGTAATTACATGTTTGTTTTCTGTGTAGTAGAAAAAGGATGCCTAGTATACAAAGTTTGAGATATTAAAGATGTTAATGCTTAGGTCTGGACCGTGTGAAAAGGCAAGTTGATTTAAATAAAAATATTATGTAAATAGTAATTCAGATGGAACATGGAAAAGGCAAAACTCAGTCAGCAAGGCTGTAATCAAGTCACTGGAGATTGGGGAACAGAGGTCTAGAGGTAATTTTTTTTTTTTTTTGAGAGGTTTTCGCTATAGGGCGCGTGCGCTCGCCAGACAGACAGAGCGAGACAGAGAGACAGAAAGCGAGAAATCACCCCCCAGGGGGGATGGTCACGCCACAATCCCTTCTCCTCCATTCTCCTCTCGGGATCTTGGGCACGCACGCACACGTGCCCGGCGTGAGTTTTAAGCCACCGGGGCCGGGACGCGAACTGCGGTCGACTACGTGGGAGTCCAGCGACATAGCCATTACGCTAACTGCTGGTTCCCTAGAGGTAATTTTGTAACCTCCATTTTACATCAAGGAATAAGCAGAGGCTCCAAGAAGTGGCAAGTCCACGTTCTGTGGCAAGTGCGTATGGGGGCAGACCGCAGCTAACACCTCCTAGCACCAAAGCATCTGCATTCTCCAGGGGTGGGGCATGGGGGGTGACAGACAGGGACCCCAGGACTCTCAGTTTGCCGTCCCAGGCTCCCCTCACCTCTTGTTTCCCGTCAAAGCTCCAACCCTTGGCTCTTCCCAACCCAGGAAGGGCAACACCGTGTACTCTTGGCAGCTGTGTTGTTGTGGGGGTTGGGTCCCCTTCCCCGGGCTCCGACCCCTCAGTGCCCTGGAACAAGGTCTTCTGTTTACAAGCAGTTCCCTGGGGAGAAAGGGCTCCACAGGCAGCAGCAGGAGAGTTGTGGGGAGGGCCCCGACACCCCACTGAACCCCAGTCCTGGGGAAGCCTGCCCATGCCCTCTGAGGTGTCCTTCCAGTGCCCTCATTTGCATATGGCCCTCTCAGCACGCTCTGGGTCACCAGATGTTAGTCCACGCAAGGAAAAAACCAGAATGACCACCACTGTCCAGAACACTGGCTCCTAGCACTTTCCCATTAAGTTTGGGGCAGAGTGGAAGAATGGTTGTGTGTGAGGCAGGATGAGGGGATGATGCAGCACCCCCATCCCACTTACCATCTTCCTGCGGAAGGAAGGCCCCCGGCCCCCCCCAAATCCAGGGAGGAGTCCGCTGTCTTCCTCTGGGCTCCAGCAGGGTGGGGGAGGAGGGAGGAGGACTCCAGTGGTGGGGGACCCTGGCCCCCTGTCCCCCTTGAAGCTCCGGGGCCGGCGGAAGTGAAACACGGCTCTGAGATGCCCGGCCGCACGGTCCTCAGAGTCCGGGGGTAGCTGGCAGAGTGGAGTGAGTTAGTGGCAGAAGCCAGATACAGGGCACAGGGTGGTGCTGGTGTTTGTCTGATCCTGGGCCTAATAGGCCTCCTGCTCTCTTCTCTCACCTAGTCTCTCCTGCTGCAGAGACACCCTTTCCTCTCAGTTCTCAGTGGAGACAGTGTTCTTGCCGCCGCACGGTCCTCAGAGTCCGGGGGTAGCTGGCAGAGTGGAGTGAGTTAGTGGCAGAAGCCAGATACAGGGCACAGGGTGGTGCTGGTGTTTGTCTGATCCTGGGCCTAATAGGCCTCCTGCTCTCTTCTCTCACCTAGTCTCTCCTGCTGCAGAGACACCCTTTCCTCTCAGTTCTCAGTGGAGACAGTGTTCTTGCCCTCCCAGTCCCCGTCATCATCTCCCAGCAGTTTCTTTCTCAAAAGAAACTCTTTCTTCCTAGGTGTTTGTTCCCCACCCCCACCTCTAAACACACACCTCTCCCCCCTCTCAGATTCTCCGAGGGACCCAGCTCTGGACACATGCTGGGGAGTCTGTGCAGGACAGTGACAAGGAACACTGCCTCTAGACTCTCACCACCCCAGGGCCTCTCGCCCACTCTGTCCCCAGCATCCTACTGGGTCACTCTGGTCCCATCCTTTCCCTGTCCTGAGGAGATCCAGAGGCCATGGGAGCTAAGAGCTGTGTGGGGAAAGATGTGGGGAAATGCCATCCCTGAGACACTGACTTGGGGACACTGTCTTTGGGGAGGGTTCTGTGGGAGCTGGGGGGATCCCAGGGCTTCAGGGCCTGCTGAAGATGGGCATGTGTATAGGCATCCCACCTGGAACTTTCATCCATGACCCTTCGGCTGAAGAAGTCCTCCAGCCCCTCATCCAGGCGGGTGGCCATCCCATTCTCCTGACGAGTCCCAGGAACTGGTACCTGCTGAGAGGAAAGTTGTGGAGAGCAGCCATTCTGTGGGACATCTCATCTGGCTCAGGGAGATCCAGCTCCCATCCACTTCCCCTTTGTACATCTGGGCATTTCCTAAGCTTGGTGACTCTTGGCTCTGTCCTTTACCAAAGTAGGAACGCCATTGCCTGGCAGACAGGTTTTTTTTTTTTTTTTTTTTTTTTTTTTTTTTTTTTTATTA